ATTGCAGGGGGGTCTTCATTCTGTGTCATACTGCAAAAGAAAGAGTAGACCAAGTTATTATAAACCACACACCATCTTAGGAAGTCAAAATTGTTCATTTTCTGCTTGAATGAGTAAATTCCTTTTAGGCATATTCCTTTCAGGTCATGCCAGTCAAAAGGTCTTGCATTCATCACAAGAATGGAAATTTCTAGACCATATCCTGCTCTACATCTGGTGTAGTATAACTATAATACTTGAGGAACCTTGCAATATAGCATTTACTGTACATTAAGTCATTAAGAAGACACTTTTAACCAAAACAATCTCTGGTAAAACATGATACTTATTTACTTGATATGACAACATTTTTCTACTGATTTAATAAAGGGTATTTTATGTTACCACCTATGTTTTGGGGGGATGGGTTTATCCTGCTCATCCAGGAAGTTTCCACCAGCTGCCAGAGCCCAGCGGTAATGTTGTGCTAACAAGGAACGGCGTGCTGTAGTCGGTGTGTCCAAAGGCGCCCCATCAGCATTTTTTAGGGGTGAGAATTCCTCCTCTCTCAACACCTCAAAGGCGACAAATTTCCTGCAAAAAAACAGATGATGGTGAGGAAGATGGCGATACCCCAATTAGCCAACGGTAGCTGTAAAACATACTTTGAGAACTGAAAGACGTCAAAGACAAATTTCTCCATTTTGATGCCATTGGGCTTGGTTGATTTCACCAGGTTCCCTTCTCCATCCACAAATGGCACTTTCTTGATTGCCACATGCTGCTTCAGCTGACTCTCAAACTTTCTGCAGGGAAAATGCATTGAAATAGGAATTGGTTTGTACAATGGGCTTTGTTTACAGATTAGCATGAGTCCATATGTTGCTAATTCTTTAACAAATGCATTCATAAATCCTCTCCCACTGCCTCATGGGCTAGTAAAGTGTCCACTGAGTGTGCACTTGATGCAGGTACTTTTTGTTTCGTTTTTTTAATACTATGAATTTGGACATACTACTCTTTTGAAATACTGTCTTCTGCATACTATATAGTAGAGAAGTATTCAATTGGGATGCAGTGTGCAAGTCTTGATTAGGGGTCCTACTGGGCTCCTATTCCTTGTTATTATAATGCCATCTTCACTAAAATGTTATTAGTTTGTTTATTGTTTTATTAGTTCTATTATAGTACAACAGAGCATGATTATAATATATTGTAGCAAAAAATGCCCTTTATGGACAATGAAAAGTTGACTTAAGAAACACATAAGAAAGTGGGATTGTATATTATAACAATTTGTCAACCACATACTCAGCCACGTCCTTTAAGAAGTCTCGGGTAAAGAAGTGGTTGCAGATGTTCCCAGCACTTAACAGGAGCTCTCCTCCTGGGCCTCGAAGCTCTGCGGTCTCTGGTTGGATCTCACTGTACTCAATCACCTGATACATGCCGTCCACAAGACACACCACTCCAACAGGCTCTGCAGGATACGCCTTATCCACTACCTGAGCAGAATTTAGGTAAACACAGCTAATTAAAGCAATAAATAATAATAAATGAATAATGGTAAACAATGATGGATGGGATCTGATTCAGGCCTAAAGACAGGATATTTTTACCTTGGCACCACAGTCTGCTCCTTTGATTACACAAAAGCCAATAAAGACTGGGTCTGCCATCTTCACCAAGACGTTGTCCACACAGTACACGTGAAGATACTCCACACCCCTTCTCTCCATGTCCTCTAAAATCTTGTTGTCCACTAAAGCACGATAGAGGCCGCCATTTCCATCTGAAGTGAACATAGAAATGAGATGCAAACATTCATTGGTTTTAGTGAATGAAGTAAAAAAAAGACATTCATAATTATCTGTCTGTTGTCATATAGCAGACGAAAATATAAATAAAAAAAATCTAATTTATTTTAATAATTTATGAACTACCTCTAACAAATAGCTAATAAAAGCAAAGCAAAATTAGTTTTCCTTCTAAAGCCAAACAAATTATCTCTGACCTGGTGCCATGGCTATTTTGTTCTTCTTCTCCAGGATGATCTTTCCATCAAAGCCTACAGCTGGTATCATTCTCTGCTCAAACATGACTACGTTGGATGGACAAAGACCAAAATATTCATTGTCTTTGAAGAACCTCTCTGTGGGTCCCAGAGTGAACTCACTAGTCATTATGTACCTGTTCAAATATCATCACAAGTGAATTCAATTCATGTTCTTCTGTCATTTGGGATTATTTATGAATTAATTCATGAACACTTCTTCAACTACAAGCACTTTTATGTCCCAGACCCAGACTTTCAAACTGGAAACAAATATGAAAATGATTAATAGAAACATGAATTATTACATTTTTGAACTACGACCTAAAAAGTATATATATATATAATTCTATTTCCACCACAGAATGCTACACAGCGTCTTTTGAAATGTGGTGGAAATTACATTTGCTGGTCTATAAAAATGAGAAGAAGAAAAAAAAAAACAGGACCAAAAGTGTTTCTAGTTCTAGTTCTCGGAAAGACCCTCATTTGAATTGCAAATAAAGAGCCATACCATGGTATTGTGCACCTACTACCATGCTTCACATTGGCCAGCTTTTGCACCTTCTGGATACGCTCAGCTTGGATCTGGTACAGGGTTTTCCCACTTGGAAGCCCAACATTGTACATGCCCTTGGGATATGGCACTCCAAGCCGAGTCCCCTGACCACCGGCTAACAGCAAAACAGCCACTCTGTCCTGTGAAATCTGCAGTAACCCTGAAGACAGGAGTCTTTTATGTACTCTTCAATATATGCAATGTTACTTTTAACCACATTGTAAAAATGGCTATTTTTGTTGTATCTTATTTTGAACCTTGGAGCTGTACCTTCATCACCCCATATCTGAAGCGCTTCTTTGTCACTTTTACGCACACTTCCGATGAACTCTGGAGGAACGGGCTTCATCCGCGCGTCTAGCCGACCATCAGCACTCGAGTGTCGGCTTGCAGCCTCGGCAGCTGCTCGGCAGTGCTCGAGTAACTCTTCGGGCTGGAGTTTAGATATCTCCTCCAGAAGCGTATTGCTTTCTTCCGCAGAAAGTTCAGCCCAAAATTGTAAAACATGGCCCTGTCCTGCAGTTTCTAACCTCGCTTTAGCTTCCTCGAATGATAACATCTTTTCCTACTAAAACATTAATGATCTGACAACAAACCTTGAGTCGAGTCGACTCCTCTCTTTTGAGGAGTCCGGATCCTGTTTTCACTGCTTGCAACTCGTGATCAGTGTGTGGTTTGTACAATGAACATATCACTGGAGTTGCATATAAAATAACAGAAAACTACTGTCAAGGCTTATTTAGTTTGCGGGAGTCATTTGGGAACTCCCCTTAGGCACATATGGCGGACTGTGTCTCACACAGCCTTAGTGAAATGTCTAGCTAGACAGTATTTTTGCTCCTCACTACCAGCTCGAATCAGTCAGTCAGCGGCGAGCTGACTCGGAACGTCCCAAATGCTGGCTAGGTAGGCAGCTCAGCAGGGTTCCAAACACAGCCAGTATTTACTCTAGATCTGCGGATGAATGACTTGACTTCCTCAGAAAGCTAACCGCTGTCATGTGATTAGTCTGCTGAGTCTCTGTCCTTCCCATTTACTGAGACGAATCACTTCACATCAGGGATCAATTCAGTGCAAAGCTTAATCATTTTTGACGCATTAAATATTACTGATGCGGCATTATAGTAATTAGGGGTAAACTAACAGTGAATTGATTCAAGATTTAAAAACAGATTCAGAATTATTCAAAATTACAGTTCTGTTCGATAAACTGAACACGGTATGAGTCAGAGAGTCGATTCAACTTTTCAAAATGATCTTTAAATTTGAGAGTTTATTCAAGTATGCCTACAAACGACCAATTACTTCCGAAAGTATGAATGTTGAAAGTATGAAAATGAAAGAATGTTGCAAGTAAAATAATTTTAAAAATCCCATAAAAAACATGTTTACTGTTTAAATTCTGCTGAAAGCTTATGCATTTAATTGTGTGATTATAAATTAAGTACATTTATCCAAATTCATCCGTTTAATAAATAATTATTAAAAAATAAACTTGAGGTTTGAGTCGCCTTTAAAAGGAAAAATGGCTTGAATTTGTTTAAATGCACATTGTATGCATACAGGTGCATCTCAATAAATTAGAATGTCGTGGAAAAGTTCATTTATTTCAGTAATTCAACTCAAATTGTGAAACTCGTGTATTAAATAAATTCAGTGCACACAGACTGAAGTAGTTTAAGTCTTTGGTTCTTTTAATTGTGATGATCTTGGCTCACATTTAACAAAAACCCACCAATTCACTATCTCAACAAATTAGAATATGGTGACATGCCAATCAGCTAATCAACTCAAAACACCTGCAAAGGTTTCCTGAGCCTTCAAAATGGTCTCTCAGTTTGGTTCACTAGGCTACACAATCATGGGGAAGACTGTCCAGACACAACTGGCCATCAGTTGTCCAGAAGACAATCATTGACACCCTTCACAAGGAGGGTAAGCCACAAACATTCATTGCCAAAGAAGCTGGCTGTTCACAGAGTGCTCTATCCAAGCATGTTAACAGAAAGTTGAGCGGAAGGAAAAATACACGAGTTTCACAATTTGAGTTGAATTACTGAAATAAATGAACTTTTCCACGACATTCTAATTTATTGAGATGCACCTGTATATAGATTTTTTTTTGTCATAAATACCAATTATTTGAACATGTAACCAATCATTTCTTTAAAATAAACACTTTCTTAAAAGGGAAAACAAAGAAATTAGTTGACAAGTTTTTAAACATGTTTTTTAAGACACTTAAGATTTTGGTAACAGGACTGAGAAAATGCATCTATCTACCAATTAGAAAAAAAAAAATCTTAATCAAATAAAGTTATGCGTAATTGACCAATACATATTATGAATGGTTAAATATTTGTGACCTGGGATAGATAAAAAACAACAACAACATACTACACACCCAACTTCACTGAACATAATGAAGAATAACTTTATTTGAGTTATTTTACAAACATAAATATTTGCGCTCTACATTCAGTTTCTGCATTCTAGAGGATGTAGATTTTTATTTCCATTTTTGTCCCGTATACATCGATTTTCACATCTCAACTAAACCTTCACAGATGTGTCATCACATCTAGATATGTTTTGCAGTACAGATATTTGGATATTTTATTAGTGTGTATGTTTACGATACTCGGGGGACCCTAGCAACAGCACATATTGATATACATGTGGCAAAACGTGGTACATGAACAGTAAGGCAATAGATTACAGGCAGTCTCAAAGGGCGGCATTCCCTGATTGTGTTGAACGCCACAAACACACACAATCTAAAGCCTTTAGTCTCAGGACAACCACTCTAATGGGTCGAGCTCACAAGTCCAGAGGAGTCCAAAGATTTCTCCTGTGAGAAACAGTGAAAAAAAAAAGCTGCAAAAAACAAGCTGCATCCATTACGAGGCAGGCAATACAGCTTTTAAAGCCCTGTAAAGACTCCACAGTGCAATTTGTGCATATTCAGACAAGACATACATACATGCGTTACAAAGACTGAATTGATTCAAAGGGAATCGGGCCACAGCTGAGTTTAGTTTAACCACCATTGGGACACAGAAGGGTATTTGCTGTTTTTCACTCATCCAAGTCATTTTCATGAGGCTTGAGAAAGACCAACTGATCCTAGGCCTGCACAAACTCTCCATAAAAGTTACAAACATGCAGATATCTGTTCCAGATCTCAATGGAGAAGAGTTTCAGAAGTCTCATCTGCACAGGAGTATCTGAGACTGAATTCTCCCTGAGAATCAAATCATTAGAAAATATTTCAGTCTGACATTAACGCCCTGCATAATAGTCTAAAAGCAGCTTTTTTTAATTCATAAATAAGGCAACTATATGAACACTACGGTCTTGTAGAATTACAAAGGGCAACAACCCATTGAACTGGTGGGTTTTAGGACTTCCCATGCAATAGCTGTAAGGGCAACTTATTTTCTCCTTGTCCGTCAAAATGTACATGAGGGTGCCAATCCTGAAATATGTCATATGCAAATATACAAGATTCTTGCCTACTGCTGCAAAGTAGAGTCAAATACAATTTTTTCAAAAGAGATCCTAACCTATATTGTACCTTTTTAGTGTTTCCTTTACATAAACCCCCCAACCTGATACAAACATTAAACATAAATGCTGAAAAATAATATTTGCTTAAATCACAACCACTACAATTACTGAACACTGTCATTCCATTGTAAATCCTCCTAAAAATTCAAGTCTGGTTTATTTTTATTAAAATAAAGTGCTTAAATATGTCCCTCGACTAGAGTTTAAATCAGAGTGTTATAGTTATGTTTGAAATCCTTGCAAACTAATACTGGTGAGAAACTGTATTTACACTGCAGATAATTTATCAATTTATGAACAAGAATTGTTTGAATGTAAAAACAAATCAATTTGTAGCACTGCTTTCTTCAACTTAAGACCTGACAGTGTCTATTTAGACACAGAACTCAGCCCACTGCATTAAAGCAGGTGCTGAATTCTCAAACCCAGGTCATTTTACACTGGATCCACACACGGATTTATTTTAAAACTGACCCGAAGCGTTAAAACACTTGTTTACATAACGCTTGATTAGCTGCCAGTCACCATGGGGAGTGTGTGCACATACATAGTGTTTTTAATTTTATAAAGTCTTTTTTTTTATAGTAACCTTCAATTGAAATGTAATATACAACATAAAAAAAAAAAAAAAAATTGACAATCCTCAACAATTTGAGGGACAATTTGATGAATAAGACATATATTGCAAACATTTCCCTTGTTACACACTATCCCTTTCAAGATGTGAAAACTGGCATGTCAATTAACGTAATAATACAAGGGAATAAATCGTATAATAATACAAGCAGTAAATGATGCCAGCGAAATGCAAGTATGTGGGTGATCTTGTAACAAATTGTGTCTGGCCCAGTCAGCTCTTTATTACTGAACACTGCCATCCAGTGGAATGATGATTCAGTGATCTGAAGGGACTACACCAGGATTATTATTAGCATTGCATCTACTAAAGCCTTTAGCGCATTAAATTTCAGTTGTGCAGTTTAAATGAGTTAATTAATGGATGCAGTGTTATTTTCTTAAAGAAAATTTGCATATACTAAATGCTTTAGTAAATCTGGCTCTTTGAATCCATCAGGTGTTTGGCCCTTCCTTTCCATAAAGTAGTTTTTCAAAATGTCTTGCATATAATTGGTTCCTACTAAAATATAGCAAACGCAACCCCATGACCTCAGGGGTGGAATAAGGGAGTGTCTGGATCCAATACAGTTGCCATTTGATATGTTCACATTTTACTTACAGCTAGGATTGTATTTAATGCAGAGGTATTTTCTATGCATGTCCCTGGTCTCATATATTCCAGTTACTCTTCCATTCACTGAATAAAGTCAAACCTCTCGTCTTCCCCTCATGCAAGCTCTTTCTTGGCCGACTGTTGCTACACTTCTCCTCGAGTGCAAACTGGCCATCCTGGACGATCTCTTTCAGTAGTCCAAAAGAAAAGTTGAGAGGAAAAAACAAAAGACATTAAGGATTTGAACAGTCTTTGGGTTCCCCTCACCGGGACTGGACGCCAAGGGTGATCTTTAGGTTCTCATACACCACATAGCTGATGCTAACAGCAGGAATGACCTTCATAAAGTTGGGTGCCAAGCCTCTATAGAGTCCAATAGCGCCCTCTGTCCGTACAATGTGTCTGAAGAGACCAGTCATGGTCATCTGTGGGCTGCCTTCCTGAGTAGCTGCTAACCAATGAAGAGCAAGAACAAAAAGCCAAAAATCAATTGGACTGTGACAGATAAACGATAATAGTTTACTTAGTGAATGAATTAGACATTCATAACTTCTAGCAGGAAGCCTTCTAATTATGTATTTGAGCGTTTAAAGACGTACCTTGAGCCTGCATTCGTGTCCTCACTAAGGCTAATGGGTAGCTTGCTAACTGTCCACAAGTACTAGACATTGTACCACAGGCTAGCAGCACAAACACACCCGGATCGGCACTGTCTGTAGCAAACCTCTGCAGCCACGAGTTTTTCAATGTCTACACATGAAAATAAGAGCAACATGAGTTACATTATAGTAATTATAATATAAAATAATGTAATGTAATATAATTATATTTACAATATAAATTAATCATAAAATACATAAAACATTCAGGAGGTAGAAAACTGAGGGGAAAAAAAGATTATAAAAAGCATGTAGCACAGTATTATTTATAGTATATTCTATATGATATTCTGAATGAGCTTTTTTTATATTTTCAGTTTTAATTTTAGATTTAGTAATTTTGTTGTGCTTTTGTCAATTACTAGTTTTTGTTTTTATTTCTGTTATCCTTTAATTTATTTTCATTTCAGTTTCAGATAAATTTAGCAATAACTAGTGCTGTCAAACGATTAATCGCGATTAATTGCATCCAAAATAAAAGTTTTTGTTTACATAATGTGTGTGTGCTGTGTATATTTATTATGTATATATAAATACAAACACCTGCATGTATATATTTAAGAAAAATGTTATGTTTATATATTGAATATATAATATAAAATATAAGAATATAAATATATAAATGTATATACATGTAAATATTTTCAAAATATATACGGTATGTGTGTATATAAATGTATATACATGTAAATATTTTCAAAATATATACTGTATGTGTGTATATTTATACATAATAAATATACACAGTACACATACATATATTAAGTAAACAAAAACTTTTATTTTGGATGCGATTAATCGTTTGACAGCACTAGTAATAACTACATACATTTTTACTTTAACTTAAAATTATTTTATTTCAGTTAGTTGCCACTGACAAATATATAATCTTTTTGTTTTACTGTGTAAAAACTTACCTCATAAACAGCCAGGTCTATTCCCGCATAAGGGATGATTCCCAACATATTGGGAATATAACCTTTATAGAAGGCTTTCAGTCCCTCCTTCTTAAATATATGTTTAGCACAGTCCTTCATACCAGAGTACTGACCCGTCCTTCCCAGGGCAAGACGAGTTTTTAAAACCTTAAACACACAAAAAGCTTTGTTTAAGCTCCAAGAGATCTAAACAAAGCAATGCTTTAGAAAGTCATCATCAGCTTGGTTAGGTTTCAGTTTCTGCGATGGCAGTTAGTAATTAAAAACCCTGGAAACATAGTTTTTTTTACATTTGTACATTACAGAACATGATACAAAGAATGCATGGGAGGTCTAGTCATAGCTTGTTTAATAATTATTCTTGAAATGAAATTAAAGCTTTTGTTTACTCAAAACAGTGCTCAAACTTTATTCCTAAATGACAGTTTATGCTCTTACCTCCATGGGGTAGATGCTGCTCTGAGCAATAGCTCCTGCTAGAGACCCAGAAACCAGCCTCTCCAGGATTCCCAACGTCTCCTGATTGCTGCCAATCAGCCGCTTAATCTGAAGAACAGGGCAAATGAGCTTCAGAGCTCACAGACAAAAATATCAAAGAGAGAAAAAAAAGCAAGGTTTTTCTCTCCCTCCAAAGGTTTAAAGCCAGATAATGGTATGATGTTCATTAACCCTTTAAGTCATGAAGAGCTGATGTTTTTTCTGAGTGACATGCACAAAAATAATGACTCATAACTTGAAGACCGTAGCAAGGAGAGTCAAAAGGTTGGCATCGTTTGATAGAAATATTTCATTTGGACATTCTCCTGCTGAGAAATAGCTTCGAGTCAATATCAATATCTCAGGACAGAAATAAGGTAGAAGGAAAATTATTTTTTGGTGATGTTCCCCAACATGTGTGCTGTATGTGAATTCAATTTTGTGGTGATATCATGAAGTAATCAAAAGTTACAGCATTTGGAACCAAGGTAGCCCTTCTCTTAGCCCTTTACGGTTTTGAAATAGTTGTTTTGAATTTGAAGTAATGCCTCACTCAAGTTTATTCAAAGCCCCAAACAATTATGCTTGTTTTATTCTACTCCATGAGACCTTTCAAATGACATATGACACATGACTATCTGACCTGCATGATGTTTCTGACATTTTAGAGTACATGGCACAAAAAACACATTTTGTAAATTATGATTTTTTTTTTGTTGTCATTTATCAGCAAATAACTCGGCACTACTTTGGAGTTAATCAAAGTGGCTACATGCATTGTAAAGCTCAGACTTTCAAATGATATCCATTTTTTGTTGATCAAGGCAGTGGTTTGAAAAATATGATTAGTAATAATTTCACAGAGGGGGGGCGCCCCGCCTGCGGTACACTTCGTTTTAGAGGGACTGCTCAGCGCTCGTTAAGAGTTGATCAAAATAATTACATGCTTTAAAAAGCTGAGATTCTAACCTTTAAAATTATACCTATTTCGTGTTATTCCATTTAGCATGGTTGCTTAGTAATTTGATTATGATTTTTTTTGTGCGGGAGGTGTCCGGTTTAAAGGGTTAAAAAAGTTGATTTAATCGCATAAAAAGATCAACAAAAGAAAAGCAACTGTTTCTTCAAAAGTTTTTTTTAAACATTGTGGATAAATATATTAACACTGCATTATTTTAAACATCCAGGATTATAGTTCTCCGATTTTGTAATTGCCGAAAGATTCCAACAACAAGCTACCTGCTCATACGCCATGAACTTGATAGCAGATTCAGGCGCGATCTTCAAAACGTTGATACCGTTCCCTCGCCACAGCGACCGAAGTCCACCCTCACGGATCATTTGGGCGAATCCTCCGGCGATGCCCATGAAGTTGCTGCGTGACGCATGAACCTGCCAACACCATTGCAGTGGTGAAATGTCTCAATTTGCTTGTAAATTATTTAATTTAAGCATTTTAATGTAAGTTTACTTCAGGTAAGGTAAGCTTTAAGGGTAGCTAAGCTACAATGTCCTGTATAGTCTTATACAGTCATACACTGAAGAATTTAAAAATGGAGAATTTTAAGATCCACCAAACTGAAACTAGCCTCACTAAGGCATTTCATAATGTGCATGGTCATCCACCGAGGCACTCATCCAAAGAACAGAACATCATGTACCATAGTGACTCAACAGTACACTTACTACAGTAGCAGTGTCCCTAAAGCAATCGAAGATGCAGTCCCTTCATAAGCAGCACACTGGTGACATGGGATCTCACTAACACTAGGATTTTAGCTCACAAGCCTAGATGGTTCTCATGAAACAAATTCTGTGACTTGAACTTGAACAAAAGTGTCAATTTAGACATTAATAATGTTAATAAGAAATGTTACTTGAGCACCAAATTAGCATGAAGGATCATGTGGCACTGAAGACTGGAGTAATGGCTGCTGAAAATTGTGGAATCAACATCAAAACCTCAGGACAGAATCAAGCCAGGTCATTTTTGAGGTCAGTGAGGTGGTGCCGTTCGAGGTGTTGAGCTAATGGGCCACTAGGGACAGACATATGGCCTTTGTTTGTTGAAGAGAGTATTGATAGGACCATGCTGAACATTCTCATGAGCATCAGCTTTATGAAGCCCATCCTGACAACGCTTGACCTTTAGGACATAAGCTGTCTGAACCATTGAGCAGTGTATAATTGAAGCTAATGGAAAGGGATGGAGAAGATGAATTAATCATTAACCTGAAGTGTTCTGGAAAGACAGAAACAAAGCAAATGTGTTTCCAGTTTTAATAGCAAATCAGGCCCATAGCGTGATTCCTGGCTGATGTTGCTCTGACAGTGTGTGACAAAATTACTGGTCTGTCCACTACTGCACTTTTTCAACCACAAGCAAAAAAACAAAACTGAACACCCCACCCAGTGACATCAGCATTTCGTAAAGTTGCTACTGAAAACCAGATCACTGAGTCAGATCATTTGGTTTATGTTGCTGTCCATTATGAGATTATGGACTTGTGCATAATAACACCTTAGTAAAAACAAAGAAAAAGTGTCTTAATAAACTAAAATTCACAACTACATGAGCTACAATAGCTTAAAATCCAGTCACGAGCCCATATAATCCATAAACAAAGTGCTTTTTATGGGCCCTGTGCTCATTAAATCTATACCACCAAGAAGTCATGTTAACAAAAAAGTATTTTTAACAAAACAAAACAAAAAGTAAAAGTTACATTTATTTTTATATATAACAATAATTATTATGGATTTATATGAATAATAATAATGAATCTATTCATTGACCATCATTCAACAGAAATGGCTTTGATTAAATGTACTCAGAAGCCATTCACAATCGGCAGAACTCTTCAGAGTTTAGCATCATGCCTGATAATCCAGTGTGCATCCTTTCAGATTGTCAAGATCACAGGCTTCCAGCCAAGTCTCAAATGGCCCTGCAAGTGTAAAGCAGGTTAAAGATAGCCGTCGCCGTCTTCTTACACTTAATCCGGATGCAACAGTGACTCTGCAGACAAGTGGGTCATGAGAATGGAAACAAGTTTTTAGAGCTGAGAACATTATTAACCTTCTGAAGTTGACAATGCAGTCATTTTCAAACATAAAGACAGAAAGAAATACTTGCAATCTGAATACTACATTTTATAGTGTACATATTAAAGTTGTTTTGGTTTACAATTACTACTTATTGGCATTTTCTGCAAAAAAAAAAAAAAAAAAAAGTCACTTGATGTCATTTAGGCATAAAAATGAAAGTGAGCTCTAACTCTGTGAAGGATACAGGAAGGGATTCTGAAAGCAGTTCAAACACGGAAGTCAAATAATCTGGATTAAACGGATTCATCCCATTACAAATTCTGACATGAATGGGCAGAACACAGAGCTCTTGGTTCACAAGAACTTTTTGACCATCTAAAACAACACTGATTTTCTTCAATTTCTTTAAATCACACAACCCACGGATTACATTTGAGACCAGTGTTGTTAACCAAAAGCAACCTAAAACTATTAACAATCATTTGTAGTAACTGAAATAAATCTGAAATTAAATAAAATATAAATATGAAAATTAAAAACTAAATAAATGAAAATTAGAAATGGAGCATTGGCAACTGAAATAAATATGTATTCAATTAGTGAAGTACTAAAATTATTAAATTAAAACTGAAATAAAAATGAATTAATGCAATATGTAAATGAAAAAAACTAATAAAAGTGACAAAATCACATAAAATTACTAAACGTTCAAAATTAATATACAAAATAAAACATTCTACACACTACACAATCGTTTTTAACATAATAATACAGATGACATACCTTTCGCCATTTCCTGTATGAATCGAACTCTTGTGATGGAAGAAATAAACTTAACTTGAAAAGAGACTTCAACTGCGCCGGTAAACTATCGGACTCAAAATACTGTAATTCTATCCGTTCTGAGATATGGACAGGCACGTAAAGACACAAACACAACATGTTCAGCTAAAAAATTTTTTTATAAATCAATAAAACTAAAAACTTGAAGGCAAATGTAAGAAAGAAACATATGTACACAGCTCTCGTCTGTTCTTGAAGCTATCAAGACCATAACGCTGGTATTTCTGTCACATGTGATTAGGGGACGTATAAATCCCTCCCGTTTCGAGACTTGTACTGCGAACACTGCTATGCAATTGGCTCACTTCATATACAGCATCACCTTCTTACAAGCTTACCGAAGTATCTGTCTTAAAGATTGACAGCCATGCAACTGCAGGTTTCTGGAATATTCATATAATTAAAATAATTAAAGCACACAGCATCTTATTCGACTACTTAAAAAAGATAACTCATTTAATTCAACCTTTTATTAAAGAGAAAAGAAAAATTAATTGTGAAATTTCAGCTCCCATAACATTACTTACCACTTTCAATGCAAAAATTGTGCCACTCATAAAAATCTCCAATGCAGTCCTATGGGACATAAGTAAAGCTTGTCAAATCTAGCAACAGTAACCAAGGGCTTAGCAAAGGGTCAATTCAGCAACAACTAATTAGTGAAATTGGTGGTCAGGATAAAACATGAAACAACAACAGTTATACCGCTCAGTATGTGATTAATCTTGTTTGTCCCTAGATAACAGATAACTGAATCTGATCATTCACAATGTAAAGCGGTCTAATCCTGTCACTAGCATGTGATCATTCCCTAATGAGTCTGACCAGGTTTCCGACATTGGGCCTGACTATACAATAATAATATTTAGAGAGCAAGACTGTCTGCAACCCACTAAAGATGTGAAGCAAGAGTTTGGGGGAGGAGAGAGAAACGTTCAAATGCGTGGGACATGTCTAATTTGCAGAAGTCTAAAAAAAATTCACACCAATTCATTGCTGACTATCTGCTGTTTGTCTGTTAAAAGCTGCATGTCAAAAGCTGTCACTGGGATGGTGCCTTTTCAAAAAATTACTAATGTGTACCGTTTAGGTACTAATATATATACCTTTAAAGTCCCAATATTCACCCTTAAGAGGTCAATAAGATACAAAAGTGTACCTTTTGAAAAAGTAACGACCCAGTGACAGCTTTAGTACCATTTTTTTCTGAGAGTATATAACAAAAACACAAACAAATGGAATTATAGAACTTTTCCTGCTCCTTTTTAACCACCATACTGACTCCTAATGATTCAATTTCAGATCATGTGCAGATATCTGTTGTAATATCTTAAATTATTTTACTAAAATAGGCCGTTCTCAGACGCCTAGATCACATGAAGCCAAGTTGATTTAAAAATGTGCATTTCACTCATTTTCCATATGCAAATAATGAGATGTGAAATATCACTCATAGCTCAGTTTTGGAAGATCCACAGTCCCTTTAAGACAAGTCATGTCACTCGGCGGTCATCTTTGAAATGCCTCTCGGGCATGCAAGTGCAACTCCTATCTCTTTGAAAGGGGAAACATCAAATTCTACAAAACTGTTCACTAAGTTTGCGATTAAATTTCATATTTGAAATCACCAAAGAAATCTGATATCAACTGTGTCATAAATGTTGTTTATATTGCTCAAATAGCGTTATAAAAAGCTTATTATTCAGGCTAGACTGCATGTGCAGTCCTGAGCGCACGTCTCAGAACGCTGACTGTTGACTAAGGGCAGCTGCAGTGACGCGCTGACTTGACCTATTAGCGATTGGCTCCTTCATTCAGAAGGCGGGGCTTCCTGCGATTGAGTGGCATATTGAGCGTTGCATTTTTCCCCATTCAAAACTATACGAGTGACACATCTTGGGTATTCTATAGTCTTTGGAAGATCTAAGTTGAAAAGACTTCAAGAATCAAAATATGAAATATAGTGCAGCAGTTCAGTTGTTATTGTATTCCTCTCAGAAACCAAAAAGTAAAAATATCAATGCATAAGCAACTTTAAAGCCTTTCAACAAATGTTTCTGTTTAATGTGGCAATTCTCTCTGCAATACCTGTTGAAGATCCTTAGGAGGCGCCACCATAATCAGCACTGTAGTTTTCTTTGGAGATACTGTGCTCTTTTCTTGACCGACTGAATCTGCCTTTGTGTCCGGTTCCCTCTGGCCTTCCTTTTTTGCAGCATTTTCTAAGTTTCGTTCCTTTAGTCCGTCAGGTGGCCCTGCGGTATCATGTTGGCACGCTGTTACTCGCAGAAGCCACTGGGACAGGGATGACCAAAATTCCTTGAGCATCTTCATAAAGATGCTCCAAGTCTGTTTGTGTACTTGAGTTTTGACTTGGTCTTCTCAAGAACTACGTCTACAGATGTTGTATGTGCGTATAGAGAGAAACTGCTCATGCAGTCATATGTGAGGCCAGGAGGATGAGGGCAGATGGGGACACTGCCACACAATTTCCAAAGCTTACTGGCATATCCAACAGCGTTTCCACAGTAACCCGGTGACCAAGTCAAAAAACTTTGAAATGCAGTGAATGACCAGTTCCAATTAACCCGCTCTCACAATCGCCTCAAAATCATTGCAAACTTAGAGCATTTTTCCAAAACAAACCGTCCAGGTAACTTTCCCAAAACATGAAAGTTGAGCGCAACAACACACAAAAAGATGAAGAAAAAGTCATTCACTCTTCAAGTGACATGACTCCACAACTATGACACACTGCACAGTAGCTTAAAACATGAAAAAAGACAACTTAACTGGAAGAAGCTGAAATCCTCACAATGAATCTGTTTTTAAAAGTGATTCCATGTTTTAAGCGCTAGTATTTCTTGGCATCTACAAGCTGCTGCAGGTTGGCTGCATCACAGAGCCGGCAAAAAGTGATGCAGTGAAAAAAGCTGCAACCTCACTGCAGCTGTGCCTCAGCCAATCAGAGCACTCCACACTGGCTGCCCCTGTCTGACAAAGCACAGGCAGCCAATCAGAGGATAAAATACAGCCATCTTATGGAGTGATCTCTTTCTCACCCAGCAATGAGAAAATTCTGCTGACTGTTTTTTCTGCCCTGTGCTTTTTTAAGATCTACTGCATCATCAGGATCTCCCTGGTAACGCCTCCAGGGTGATTCCATGCATTTCTAACACTGTAATACTCACCTACACAAATCTACCTCATTCATTCATTCAGTTTGTTGTGGTTCCATTCCTTCTTTCAAATGCATCTGGGTATGCACAGCAGGACATGTTCATTTTTTACATCCTTCCTCCCTTATTTTACTTGCGAATGACAAGATTCAATACAGCTTATTTGAGCAGAATCACTTTCTATTGATTAGCTATTAACTACAGCTGCACCGCAATTTATTTCACAGAACAATATGCAGATCTCAGGAACCTACGCTTCTTACAATTTACAGTGGAATGCAAATGGTATGCATGTATATGATTATATGCATATGCAGTATATAAAATGAGCAAGTGAGAAACAGATGGTCCTCTACAGGCCATTCGATTAAACGCACAATACTGATTCATGCTCCTGCCTTGAATTCATATTTATCTGTATAGCATTTTTTTGTTATATTAAAGATATAAGAAGTTATATTGCAAAGTTATATTGTAATAGAAAGTCATACCGTAGTATCTACACTGTCAAATCTTTGGTTCACAAGTTATCCTGAATCCAAACTGGACAAAGCAGCATACACATAAAATACAAAAAAAACAAAAAAAGTTTAATATAACGTTTAAAGGATATAACCCTATGTCCTAATCATGCAATGAATTTACTATTATTCTCTAATATGTAGCCAAATATTAGGTTCAGATGCCTTTAAATGTACACGTCACAGGTACCAAAAAATAAATAAAAAAATGACCCAATCACAGTAGTGGTTCCCCTGTTCTCCAGGGGGCCCTTGTACTCCTAAGCTAATTAATGTGTTATGATAGAGAGATCCTAAATTATTCACCCAGCCCTTTGAACATGATGAAGGGTCTGGCTGCTCGCTATTACTGCACCAAATTTAAAATATAAAACAAAAATTACATTTAAGAGAAAGAAAGAAAATAAACACAAGAAGGGACATGCATGTACATTTTTAAACAGAACATAAAACCCAATATTTTTCTAAAAGGAGAGGATTAGCTACTGATGTTCGATATTAGCAGGGTGTCTAGCAGACTAATGTAATAAGCCACTGAGGGAATGCTTTTCTGATGTGGGAGGAATTGGATAGCTCTATATGTGGCAGGATTTACATCATTCTGCTTGAATTTTAAGCAGTTACTGTGCGATAAGCTTCATTCACAGTCTGTAACCCAAAGAAGCCGATACAGAATTACAGTAAACTATCAAGCAGTGAAGTTAATGGGGTGTTTAAGAGCAAATGCCAGAAAAGTATGATTCTGTCAGGTTCAGTGAAAGCCAGCTAAGATGCACACACTATTGACAAAAGAAAAGAAAAGAAAAGGAAGGCTGAATTTAAGTAAAAAGTGTCTACATATACTGAGCCAGAAGAGCTGTTCCATTAACCCATTTACAGATTAATTTAAAAACTCTTATAATTAAAAACCTTTCTGCACATGCCCATTCATACAACATTTAAAGACCTGTAGCTTCTTATGTAACAAACTACTTTTGAGTGTTTTTGAATAGAAAATCATCCGAGCAGGTCCTGCACTGCATTTGCATTTATTTTCTCACTGCATTTGCAAGTCCAGCATGCAAATCAAGTTCAAGTATCCACAAGTGCAATCCACCTTTGATTATGAAAGTGCCAGTAAGTTATTTTTGCCCTCCGTAACTGAAGCGGCAGATGTCATTCATCACGATGAGAGGTTGTGAATTAAGCAGCAAAATCTTTTGACCTTCATAATTAAACATGTAATAGCACAGTTACTAGTCTATTTAAGCAGTGCCAACAAATCTCAGCTATAGTCCACTAGAGAGGAACTTTCGGTTTTGTTCGAAGTGCTTTTGTTAGTTGGCAAACAAAGGAATTCTTGATGCGCAAAATTCTGCAGCCAGGCTTTTGTCCAAGACTGCCGCTATCCAAAAAAGTGTTTGACCTTAAGGAAACCTAGTCAAACGCTTGTAAAACACACCCAGAGATGAAACTATCTGTAGTGTGGTATGCAAAACATGTCTGTCCTCATTATAAGCCAATGAGTAAACCATCTCTGAAACTCCTCATGAGGTCTCATGACTCGCTTACAGAAGCAGCCCACATTCCAGGTGATCAGTATCCAAGATCCCATTCCCTGAAATGCTTTTCCAACAGTTAGCTCGGGCTAATTAATATGAAGTAGTTGTATAACTTATTGTAACCCCTGAAGTAATAAAAGTGAAACCTTTTCTTCCACTTTCACATTCCCCAGATTTCTATTTCGTTTTAACAGATTATGATCACTCAAAGCACGTTGTGTACATTCTTACCGCACTGTGAATTTCCCAACAGAAACTTCTTGTTTGTTCTTATTAATTATATTGCTCTGTGTGTTCTCGAGAGACTCTTGTCTAGTTACGCATTTCCTTCTTCTTTGGGCAGTTACATTCTAGTCTAGATTCATATCTAATAAACATGATAGTGAAAATTATACTGAACTCTGATTAGAAAAGAACATGCCTGTATATGGGCATCCTCTATAATGCTTACCATATCTGAGGCAAAGCAAAGAAAAACATTCAAGTAACCTTTTGAGAAATAACACACACATTTCTCAATAGGTGTGTTATTTCTCAATAATTATCTCTCTATATACTGTATACATAAACTACAGTATAATGTATATTTCTATATTTCTCTGATAACTGTTTTATATATATATATATATATATACACACAGTATATACGTGTATGTAAATAAAATTACAAAAAAAGAAAGCAATATAAATAATAATAATATAAATTAATTTAAACACACACACACACAAATATATATATATATATATATATATATAATATTAAAATAATTGTTCTAGCTAAATAAGGAGAACAGCTTCTTCGTACCTGAAATTAAGCTCAATTTGCCACGTTAAATGTATATTTTGGGTGGACAGAAACCCACACACCTGCCTCAAAATAGGAGATGCTACAAAAAATCCAATTCCAATCATGCCACATAAGCATTGCCAGTGTTCACCCAACAGTGTAGTTCTTTTTAGCCATATCTACATCAAACACGCTGAAAGTAAACCTTTCTAGGAAAAAACCTCTTCACACAGTGCAGAGAAAGGAAAGGCACAGTTGGCATTTGTGGCACTGTGTTAAGCAAATGTCACTCAAATCACCTGGTTTAGTGAGTAACCCCACACAAGAGCTGTGAAAGTAAGAAGCCAATAGCCTTTAAGTACATAACTTGTACTTCTGGGGTTTAATAGTGATGCACAAACAAAATAAGTTGAACTGAGTCCTTCCTAAATCTGTCCTCTCTATCAGTGTGATCTGACCTGTAATCCCATTATAAAGACCTATTATAGTGGGATAACTCACCTTGAGTTCATGTTCAGTGCGATGGACCCCCAGCTTTTTCAGTCCGATGGTCAGGTCGTTGACACAGATGCCTCCGTCTCTGTTGACATCCAGGATCTGGAAGAGCACCTTGAGCCGATGCTCCTGCTCGGGTCCGCCGCACACCGGGCAGTGATGCGGGGAGTCGCAGGACTCATCATGGCGGTGCTCGGATAGAGATGTCGCGGAGCCCAGAGTCCGACCACCTCCACCGGGGTCCGAGCCCTGATACTCCTCCGAGCGGCACTGGCAGAAAACACCGCTGAGCAACGGAGAGACGAACGATCCCCGCTGATGCATGTCACTGAACTCCAGCAATTTAAAGTCTGTCTGTGTATGAGCGCGTGGGGAGCGAGAGTCACGCGATCGGAGCGGCGCGTGTTTTCCAGTCAGGATGCGTGACAGATGTGCTTTGAGATAAGCTTCCGAATACGTCTAAAGTGTTATCTATTGCTTTTGAGCCTCTTTACTTCAACGGTTCGTGTGATATGTTCTGGTTTAAGGTTCAAAACTGATCGCGAGAGCTCATAGTGAGGAGCTGGAAGGATGTCCCACCGGTACTCCGGGTTCTAGTATCCTAAAAAGCGCAGGCAAATCCGCGTCTTCCGACATATACATCGCTTTGAATCTCGTTCCGAATATATATTCTTGAGTTTGTGAATTTCCAATGGTAATCCGGTTTGAATTGGCGGTCTGAATGACAGCTGATGCAACGAGAATGCCGGTAGGGCGGGAGGAATCTCGTGTTCAACAGGAAATGAGTAACTGGGGGGGGAGGGGCTTTGAAGTGGGCGGGACTAATGATGTCAGTGATGGACACATGAAGTTACCAATCACATTACTATAAATTGTCTTCTCGTCACGCCCCAATAGTTCTGGTCCTTTCCACTTTTTTTATAATTCATAAAAATAGTAATAATTGTTGTTGTTACTATTATTAGTAGCATTATTACTTAGAATTATTAGAATGAAAATAAAAAATATATATTTTAAGATATATTTTTAGATATAAATAAAACGAGTAGCTGCGAATAATGAACAGGAATGCTCAATTAATGCAGATTTGTAAGATTATGCTTTTTATACAGTCTATGGCTTGTATGTGTGTAAATTCCAGATTGTGCATGTCAGACAATTATGCTGTTAAATTCTACATTGGTAGCCTACTATTAAATATGCCAGTAGGTAGTACTACTGTTTGTCACTCAGAATCCTACCTCAAGGTCCTCCTCACAGTGATCACATTCAAAAATTTACTTAAGAGACACCTGCTGGGGAAATAATAGAATGCAGTTTTCTGCTCTTCAAATTAGGATTTGATGTTCTTTAAAAGGCACTTAACCAATTTACACAAAAGCAAACTCTGATATTGCAAGCAGCAATGAAAAAGCCAGAATTTGTTAAACTTCGTAATATGAACTTTCATTTGCAATCAGTTTGCAATGTTAGGGTACCAGTTTCACAAAGACCATTCTCATGAATGTTTTATGCATAAACAACTCCGTGTTTTTGAATAAACAAACTTTTCTAGTTAACTTCCATGCAATTTACAGGAATTAAATAATTCCAGTGTGACAAGGCTGCACATTTGTTGCCTTCCAGAAGACCTACTGAGTAGACAGAGCAATAATTTAGCACTGACTTAATGACTTACACAGAGCTTGTCTGTTCCCGTCTACACCAAGCTATATACTATAATGAGTTGCCCTATATCTCCACAGTGAGAACTACTAGTGTGTCTTCCCTTGTGAATGTGAACTCATAAAACTGCACATACTTTTATATTTTGGTCATGCAGCGATGACTCCGCAAACAATCCCTGTAAGTGAACTGAATAAAAATAAAAAGCTATCTTGTATTTTTTAATTGTTCTGAAAAATCCAAGTTCCCCTCAGCCTGCAATAACCTTGCAGGTTGTTTTGAATACAGCTACATTTTACAAATCCACAAATCAAGTTCCCCTTAGCGTTTATGGTGATGGTTACAGCTCAGCATAAAGATGTTTAATTTGCACACTGCCTTTTAAAAAGTTCACATCACATCTTACAATTATACACAGAACCTCTAAACATGGTTTATTTTTTTTAAATAATGATGCACCCATTCAAGTTTTTTTTCTTACTTTGTTTGGTCTGAAGTGAAGGAACAATTTGTCTACATTTTGGCACATTTATTGAATTGGGATAATGCACATTAATGAACATTCTAAAAATACAAATGTAAACATGCTGCATTATAATACCATTGCTAATTTATATCCATAAATATAGTCCCTAGGTAACACAAAGTCATTACAACAGTATGCAAATATAAATAGGCTATATGACAGTATAATTGCAAGTACACCATACTCGAACAAAACAGTGTGCACATAGTTAAAAGTAATCACAAATTCGAGTCACTGCTTAAGATCTTAAAAATATAATAATAATTAATAGTAGGCCTAGTAGTAGAAGTAATAATAATAGTGTTAGTAATGAGTTTATTGCTAGAACAGCTGTGTCTTAATATTTTTATTAATTTATCTGTTTAACAAAAAATGTAAACACAAAACGAACTAACTGCAAAGAAAATAATTAATCTATAAATGAGAAGCCTTTAACATTAGTCGAAGTATAACATTTAATGATTTACATATTATATTTTACTTCTGAAAAACAGTTTTTGTATATGCATTTCTAAGAAGCGAGCAAGTATCCGGCCACGAGATGGCGCTACATTCCCAACAAATCCCAAGCAACGATTTTCTGCTTTAACACATACGCGCGAAGTCCTCTTTATTCTCCAAGTTAGTGATTCTCCTTGACAACACGAACGTTTGTTTTCTGCCTCCCTAGAAACCGCTGATGGTACTTATGGTAACGTTGCTGATGAATCTCTTAAGCCAGTATCGCAACCTACATAATAGCCAAGCTAAACAACGCGCCTGAACTCTGAATGTTTTTCTTTTAACAGTAAAGTCTGGAGTACTGTTGCGTTCTTGTGGATGTAACGTTAACGGGAGTTTCGAACGCTTTCAGTGAACTGCTCAGCTGTATTTAGGGAAATCCACGCGTCCATGGAGGCGGCGCTTAACGTTACTAGAGTTCACTAAAGAGCGAGACAGTTTCAGCCCAGCAGTCAGTCTACCTTTTGACTCAACGTTAAACAGTTGATTTCGATACGAGTAAGTTAATTCTATTATGGGTCGTTTTCTGAATTGTTCCATCCAGTGATTTCTATCCATCCTGGCTGCCATATGAAAACTCTTCATCGACGTAAGTATTTAACTGTCTCTATTCAAATTTTCAGTTACGATAATGGAAACAACAGGCGACTACTTTCGATTATTAGAGTGAAAAGATGATGGTCATTTCGCTAGATATTGTCAGTGACTCTCAAAAAGCATACGATATTTCTCCATGATTACATGAATGGTGCCAGTGGAGCACCAGGGATCTTTACACCTGGATATAATGGACTTCTCCAAGGTAACTAACTCTCCAGGGAATGTGTTTGCTTTTCTGTAGAGACTGTAGCGTTCCCGCTGTGCTGCCCCTGTATTGGTTTTAGGGTTAGTTATGATATACTTGTTAGTGTTTACTTGGTATAGAGCCTGTCTGACCAGTCTGTCTAAGAGTGAGTTTTACACCCTAGGTTCTTCTGGACAACCTCAGTCCTCTCAGAAATGCTGAACCAAAGCACATACATTGAGAAGGACTTCCAAGCACCAGATTGAAAAACAACTGCAGCCATCTCCCTGTCTTCATCTACCTCTGCCTTCAAACATCCAAAGTCCAGTCTCAAAAGAATATGGCGTTTTTAATGAAAAAGAAGAAGTTCAAGTTTCAGATACACTTCACCCTGGAGGAGCTCACGGCTGTGCCGTTTGTGAACGGGATGCTTTTCTGCAAAATCAGGCTGTTGGATGGTGGAGACTTTTCCATTTCTTCATCCAGGTAAGATTTGGGATTCTCTCTGACTGTATTGGACCATGATATCCATGGTTTCTGCCAAATAAAATACTTGCTAGGGCAGTAAAACTCTGGTAACTTTTTATAAGATACTACAGTTTAAAAAATTACTGTAAATTCTAAATGTATAGTTATTTCAGTAACTGTGGTAACTTATTTTGAATTTACTGTGAATAAAAAATGGTACGATTGTTGATGAATGATGGTAGGCTTTGAAAAATGCTCTTTAGAGCTCTAGGATGGGTGGAAAGACATTAGTTGTGTGTATTATTATAGATTTTGCTGGTGTCTTTGGTATAGGTTTCATTAAGAGCACTTGTTCAGACCTTCAGTTTTTTCTTAGCCCGCACTGCAGCGCTCAAACATTTCTGAGTCTATTTGAAGTGCATTTAGAAGACCACACAGGTTGCTTAAGGGGGTCTTACATCAAAAGTTAAGACATTTTTTAGGGGTCAGCGTCAAACCACTGCCATTCTTTACATTGTTTACCCAGGTAAAGGATTTGCTCTTTTAATCATTGCCAGTGTTGGACGAAGTACACAAATCAAGTACTTGAGTAAAAGTACAGATACATATAATCAAATATTACTCCAGTAAAAGTAAAAGTACTCCTTTTTCAATTTTACTCGAGTGAAAGTACAAAAGTACTCGATTTTTTATGTACTTAAGTAAAAAAGTACTGATAGATCGATTTATTTTGCAATTTTATATAGGCTACTTATAACGAATTAAAACTACTCCGTTACTGTCCACCACTGATCATTGCACACAGACAGCCTGAATTGCGCAATCATGTCCATTTCCATGATTTCTTTTGTTCGTGACTAATTCTGAACACATTTCTGCACTTGGACTGTGGGTTAAGATGATAGCACACAGATATCATGTCAGCATTATGATTGTTTATAAATAGAGGCTTAAGCCCATAGTAGGCGAGACTCACAGCTGGGCAAGTCTGATCAGACTCAGCCCAATTAGAAGAATAAAGGTGCATTAGTAAACCTGAGTGAATCAGCAGTTGTATATGTAGACAAGTGGGTTATGATTCCACCATATGAATTCCAAAAAGACTCTGATTGGATGAATCTTGTATGTGATGTTCATTGCCGTTTGTCATCATTTTTAAAGGGGTCATATGATGCGATTTCAATTTTTCCTTTCTCTTTGGAGTGTTACAAGCTCTTGGTGCATAAAGAAGATCTGTAAAGTTGCAGAGACTAAAGTCTCAAATCCAAAGAGATATTCTTTATAAAAGTTAAGAGTCAGCCACACCTACCTAAAACGGCTCGTTCTAACACACCCACACATATTTACCTCACTATGTGGGAAGATTTGCATAACGCCGCCCAAATGTTCACGCAAAGAAAGAAGGCGTAACTTTTAGTCTCACTGTAGTTTTGTTGACGCTGCAGCCATGTCGTGAAGACGCTGTGTGTTTCGTTGTGAAAGCGAAACTACTTTGTTTGGTCTTCCAAAAGAGGACGATATCCACTTCGTCATGCCTAGAGCTGATCTGTGCTGGTCGCTGAGGGAATACATCAACTTTCACTGTGGACGAAGCGGAATCCAGCCCGGGGTCCGTCACATGTGGTTGCCGCTCATTCGTCGGATCCGCCGGGTGCGCCGTTCTCGACCCTGCCGCCTCCGCTCACTCTAGCCCGGCCTCAGCTCATTCTATCCTGGCCTTAGCGCACGCTAAGCCGGGGCTTCGGCTCACTCTAGCCCGGCCTCAGCGCAGGATTTGCCACTGATGATTCAAACGCGAGTTTTGGGCAGTATATGCTTTA